TTCCTAATGGTTGAGATTATGTTGTTTTTAGTCCAGGGCTAGTTATGAGATGTTTCTTAAGCATGTCAGTTTCTACATTTGTTTCATGTATTTACTATGCATACATATAGCTGTCCCCACGACCCTGTACGCAGGATGGACATATAGCTGTGTCCTAATGAATTGCTACACCTAACAGTAATCTGTAGGGGGAGTCCAATGTCACAAACAACTATTTTGTCTTCCATTTCATAATTCGTACGATATGAAATATTATGAGATACTATACAATATGCAAAATAAGAGGGATTCAGAAAGGATGACAAAGCAGGAGTCTTCAGACAGCTGAGCACCTCAGCACTCTGGAGAGGAAGTGGGGGAGGGGAGGATGAAAAAGACAGACAAAGAGGAGGGGAGGATGGTGGCCAATCTGCCCAAAGGCTTCTGGGTGGTGTGTGTGTGTGTGTGTGTGTGTGTGTGTATGTGTGTGAGTGTGTGTAAATGAACATGGAAAGAAAAAGTGTGTGCCACTGCAGGGTTGTGTGTTTGTGTACATGAGTGACAGAGGGGGCAGGGCAGGGGGCCACTATTAATAGCCAGTTTTCCCTTTCTGCCAGAATGCACAGGGCTTTTTAAATGAGCCTGGGGGGCTGAGGCTTTTCAGCACTGGAGGAGAATGCAGTCCCTCATCAGTTGACTTGGCCAGTCAACCATCAAACTCCTCAGTGCTAACCGATGAAAGCTGAAAAAGATAAATTATTTCATTGTTTTACAGCAGTAGTCTCACCAAGTGACAGTGAGTGCTGGGATGTGAATGCAAGTTTTCAGCAGCTGGTTAACACACCTTTAAAGGGTGGAAATAACTTATACACTCATGGGCCACTTTATTAGGTACACATATTCAATTGCTTTCTAACACAAATAGCTAATCAGCTATTCAGATGGCAGCAACTCAATGCATTTAGACGTGGTCAAGAAAACTTGCTGAATTTCAAACCGAGCATTAGAATGGGGAAGAAAGGGGATTTAAGTGACTTTAAATATGGCATGGTTGTTGGTGCCAGGCGGGCTGGTCTGAGTATTTGAGAAACTGCTGACCATGTCTATCCATTTATGACAGCATTGTATCCATCTTCTGATGGCTATTTCCAGGAGGATAATGCAGCATGTCACAAAGCTCAAATCATCTCAAACTGCTTTCTTGAACATGACAATGAGTTCACCGTACTCCAACGGCCTCCGCAGTCCCCGGATCTCAATCCAATAGAGCCTCTTTGGGATGTGGTGGAACGAGAGATTCGCATCATGGATGTGCAGCCAACAAATCTGCAGCAACTGCGTGATGCTATCATGTCAATATGGATCAAAGTCTCTGAGGAATGTTTACAACACCTTGTTGAAAGTATGCCACGAAGAATTAAGGCAGTTCATAATGCAAAAGTAGGTCCAACCCACTACCAGCAAGGTGTACCTATAATAGGTACATAGTGAGTGTAAGCTGCTTGATTGAATTGTTACCTGTATACATACAGCTGTGTCACAGCTCTATGTTTTGACAATTCCATCAAAACATTACTGCCAACCAAGAGAAAAAATTATACCCTCTGCCGCCTGATAGCTTGCATATTTATTTCCAAAAGTTAGCTGAACACTAATGTGCAAGCATTTCCATCCAAAGTAATGTACTAAAATTCCGTTGCAAAAAAAAGCTAGTCTAGCAGGTTACAGCATCCAACCTGGTTTGCCAAGAGCCAACAAATCAAACAGACACAGGTAGTTATTCTCTTCCCTCTTCTCTTCATCCCTTGTCTTCCTTAGCCCTTAATCTCAGTTCTTGATTCTATGTTCAAGGAGACATTCTGATATACCAAGGTTACTTTTAGCATCAGGAGCAACTGCGCAAAAGGTTTCTCAAAAAAATAGTGCATGTAGCTGCAATGCACAAAACATACATCTCAGAAGCAATCTCCTAGAGAATATCTAACAGAAGTATGGTTAGAAATATCAAAATAATCAGAGCGCTCTATATATGTACTAGATGTTTCTCTTCACGACAAGGTTGTCAGTGCAGGAAAAGTACACCGAAAGCTCAACAGCGTGAAATCTACTTGACATTAAAAGTACTTGTGTTTATCTTAGCCAAAAATCAGCTCCCAGTTTCTTCTTCCCATTATGGCAAACTAACTACGCTGTATATGCAATCTCTGCAGCTTCACAACAAGGTCAAATCAATGACAACCACTCTGTGCGCTCTTCTGCTGCATGCAGTGTCTCCTCTAGCTCAACTAGAGCTGCACCACAGGCATCACTGCTGTCATTTGAAGCATCACTCTGGGTTTTCTACTCTTAATTTCCTGATTTAATTTTAAATGTCTATTGCTGGAAACATGCAATGAATATGGCATCTGTGATATGCACTTACCACATTTAACAAAGTCAATGAAAAAGTTAAAACGGCAGAGAGTATGTCTTTCTATATGGAGGGTTTTTTGTCTAACCAGCAGTGATACGTTTCTTCCATTGAATTCTTCTCTCTGGGTACATCTGAATGATTTCTGCTGTGAGGGATTTAATATTCTGCAGGCGATTACAGCTCACACATTTGCAGATGCTCACTCTCACGCACTGCACACACTTACAGTACAAACGCATGGACACAATTCAAGTGACAAAGTGGCTGGCACTGTGACGGCAGAGGAAACTCCATTTGGAACATGAGGAGAAGAAGTAGTAGTAGTCAGGGTAGGGGTGGGGGTTGGGGGAGCGGACACTAGGAATCATGGGATGCAGAGAGGCATGAGCAAAGGAGGCTCTCTAGCATGAGTCAAGCAAGTTACGTAACAGGGAGAGGGGAGGGAATCGGGGGCCGGTTGTATTGCCTTAATGGCTCCTCCCTAGCATGACACAAACCTAGCCGGAGAGAGGGGAAGGCAGAGACAACAGGGGGGAACAGAGAGACAGGCAGGCAGAGACAGCAAAGGGGAACAGAGAGGTAGGCAGGCTGAGTGATAACTGGGGGAACAGACGGAACACTTGACAGGCAGACATGGGGCAAAATGAATAACCGACACAGACAGAACACATGTAACAAAATACCAGACAAGAATCTAACTTCAGACAATAACAGAAACCCACGTAAACAGACAAACACCGACCAACTATTACACAGGGATCATAACAGACAAAACCTAAACGAGAACACAGAACTAGAACACAGAGTACAGAGCAGACTAAACCAAAATGATGCAGAGAAAGAACTAGAAGCAAATACTACGACATGAACTAAGGCACAGGGCTAGGACCAAAGATATGGAACAAAAACCCAGACTCCCCAACAAGACACACAGACAGGATCATGACATGCACATACAAACTGATATCGACATCTGACCAGACACAGTCACACAGGCTGGTCGCTGTACTGTCAGCACTGCAATCTATACCTAGTCCTGTGCATGGACCATAGGAAAATTATACAACCCAGTAACTAATTAAAAGCATGGATGCCTGCCAAATGTAGCTGTGTGTGTGTGTGTGTGTGTGTATACAGTACATACTTCATGTATTTTCTTGTGTGTTATGTATGTAGTCTCATTTTACCAAATTGCACGTTGTAACTACTAAGTATAGTGTAACGACAGACACCTAGGTTGTGCAGTGAGTAAACCTCGCACTATGACACCTTAAGAGACGTGCTAGCGACAGACACTAGAACCCTTCGGATTTAGCCTCCTCGTTAGCATGTCATCCTCCAGAGTCCAGACTGTGGAGTACAACCTCGGTCCGGTTACAATAGCCTAATTGTAAGTGTTTTTGTTTCTGGAACACCCTCAAACATGGTGTAGGAAAACTTGAGCAGAAAATGTCCACATGAAAAAGGCACTTAACTGTCCACTGATATGGTACTGCAGCTCACTGACCAGCAGCAGACGGTTGTAATAGAGCTGAAAATGGACCTACTGTACTTGATCAGCAAACCCTTTATGAAAATCTAAATTTAAACTTTTGTACTGCATGTACAAACCATAACCTTTTAAAAAAAGAATAAAACTGAATTAATTTGTCATCGTGGCAGCAATACAGTTGAACAGTCAAAACCCTGGACAATTAGATAATTAGATCTCATCTACTATCTCATCAGAATCAAATAATGCAACTGAACATTTGAGTCCATATATTGAGAGATATTGTAAAGTTTATGACACTAATATTTGGATTAATTTAGCACAACAAAACATTTCAGACTGTCATCTCATTTCATCTATACTCATAAAATGCATACTTGGTATCTGAGTTCTTTAACGCAAATTACAAACAGAATATTTGAATTTGTTATCCTCAGGAGACCTCTGGCTCGTGTTCATGGTGTCCTTGCTGGGCAGCCAATGACAGATGGTGAGGCCGGTTTGGACTCTGATTGGACATGGTGCCCTAAGGCTGGGAAATGATCACGAGGTCTTTGCCCACTTCACAGCATACAGAAACGACAGACAAGCAACATATACTAGGAGGAGGCAAACAGGAAGAAGACAAATAGAGTGCCCGCAACCACCTTCACACACACACACACACACACACACACACACATATACTGTCCAGCTAGAAAACAACTGAACTGAAGCAGAGAACATTGTGTTTGGATAGGCTGAGTTCGATTTAAAATTCTAGTGCTGTTCAGAAGCTGCACGGGCAGTTGAATCTTAAACAGCTGTAGTTCCTCTGCCAGTGAGGCTGTAGAAAAGCAATTACTGGGGAATAAGCTGCAAAGGTAACTGCTAAGATAAGACAGAGATAAAATGTGAAGCAGTGGCATAAACTCCAAAAGGAGACACTGAGATGACAATAAACAGAAAAAGGACACAGAAGACAGTAGATGAGTTCAAAGAAAACAGCTGCTCAGTGGCCAGAAAGACAAGATTGTGTTAGTACTGCAGAGTTCTCACGAGTGAAATCCCTCCTCCCATTTGTTTTATAAACTTTTTAATATTTGGAAGCAAGAGATTGATATCTGTAAATCTTACCCAGCATGCCCTTGTTGGGCTCAGATAGACACATGTCCTTCTCTGCACTGGGCAGAACGAAGCCGACCACAAAGATCTCCACGCCATCAGCCATCAACGCCAGCCCCAGGACAAAGTAGAGTGTCCACTGGAATTTCCCATGGCCACACTCCTGCAGGATGGTCTCATACTGCTGAGCCAACTCCTCCTGGTCTTTCCTCCTCTCACTTTCGTAGGCTGACAGATCCCTGAACTGTTGTGCCTGGGCGGCCGCCACGCCGTCCATGTCGCCAGCCTTACCCGAGTCAGCCCTCGGGATACCCTGGTACTCTCCTTCATAGATCTCATCATCCTCGTCGTGTCCTTCAGTGGAGTCGCTGTGACCTTCATCATCATTGGCCCGGCTGTCATTTCGGTAATATCCGCCGTCGTTGCTAGGCACAGCGCCATAGTCGTCATCATCATCATCATCGCCCTCAAAGCGTTTATAGGAGCGTTTGGTGTACTCGTCGGCCATTTTGTCCACGCTGCGCCCCACCTTCTTGCCAACCTGTTTCTTGGCCACTTTGGCAATGTCCTTGGCGCCGCGGATAAAGTCGGAGCGGCTGTCCCTGTAACGCCCGTCGTCGTCCATCTTGGATGTGGAGGTGGTGGTCAATTGCTGCTAGGAATGGGATGTATCAGGAGCGGCCCAAGCACATGAGTGTGCAATGGGGATTTCTGTTAGCTGATGAATTCAGCACCACGGACAGCTCCCTGCTCCACTGCACTGCTGCTGTTGAACTTTGGCCAGCGTGCGCTCGGATACCAAATCCTGTGGAAAAGCAAAGAAATGGTTTGTGTGAGCATTATTCATCCCACTGGCAGTGTCGTGCATGTAAAGAAAAAATATCTATTGTAAGCACATTTTTAAACAATCTAGACAGAGTCAATGTGTACTTAAACACAAAGGACCATTGGCATTCAGTTTGTGTTGCCATTTGCAGGAAACATTATCTGGATCAGCACTACTGGCTGAAAAAAGGACATGACAGTTTGAAGGTGCTCGCTCTCTCTCTCTCTCTCTCTCTCTCTCTCTCTCTCTCTCTCTCTCCCAGCACCAATCACATTGTGGCATTTACAGTGGAGCACCGCCGAGCTAACATATAATGGTGGCGATGGATCAGTGGATAAGACACATGCTTTTAGTGTGAGAGACCTGGACCTGAACTGTTGCGAATCCACCAATGTGTCCATGAGCAAGACGCTTAACCCAGAGGCGTGTGACCCCCGACATATAGCATTTTTGAATCACTTTGGAAAAAAGTGTCAACTAATTGATTAATTATTATTATTAATTATGCTGCAACACAGACTCAATAGGTACTTTTAGGGTTAGATTGAAGTTCCCACTCAGGACACTTGTGACTACAATCTGTGAACATTTATTGACTGCCTAGCAATAAATGTTAATGACATTTATTGCTAGGCAGTCAGAACATAAAGTTGCTTCATGGTGGTCTGGACAAATGTCAGGAGTAAAATTTGTGAAAACTGAATTAGTAATTTTACGACACAAATCATTAAATATGAAAGTGATAAAACATTTTAAAAGATATGTTAACAGAAATATTCCCTGCACTAATGGCGTAACAATTTGGTCTCATGCTATTCTTGTTGGTCCATTATTTACGATATCTATGTCTCAACGCCTTTCTATTCATCTTCATTCTACTCGTCCACTGTGTGCAATCCTCACCTCATCCTCCCTTCTCACAACCCCTTCCATCGCTACTTTTAATTTCCTGCCTTGATTAACTGAGTACTCATAAAGTTGAGAAGAGATAAACACAGCACATGAGCAAAAAAGGGCCATCATGAATCAATCACCAGGCCGCCGTGCTCTTTTTAGTGACACTTCAGTCACTGTGACGCTGCCCTTGTTTGTCTCACTGAGGAGGACATGCTGCGCCAAAGAAAAGGCTGCAAGCACTACAAATGGGCAAAACAAACTCAGCAGGGAGAACATCATTAGCATGTGTTTCAGTGAGCATTTGACTATATTGCTATTGTTCAAATTGCGGCTTTAATCCACACACAGCATTGATGCGTGAAATAAATCAGTTCAACACTTTTTTTAGTCTTAACTTAAACAACAGGTTCAGCATTTTGGGAAATACTGTGAGATTCTTTCTAGTTGAGACTTATATCAGAAGATCAATAGCACTCTCATATCTGTATGGTAAATGTGAAGCTACAGCCAGCAGCACGATAGCTTAGCTAAGCATTAATAGGTGGCAACAATTAGCCTGCCTCTGTCCAAAGGTTTAAAAATCTGCCTACCAGAACCTCTAATGCTCACTAACAAATATATTGTATCTTCTTGGGATAATTCATACACAGAAATGTAAAAATGACAAGTTGTGGTTTGACAGGGGTACCTTTCTCTTCTATTTCTTGGCTACATTGGGCAATTGTCTCCTGGCTCTAGTTTCATACTTAACAGACATATATGAGAGTATTATGAATTTTTTAGGAGCAATAATCCATTGTGAGGACACATTATACAAACTGTATTTAAGTAACAGCCATCAGCTAGGGATGCAGCGATTACCGGATTTCACAATAAACCGTGCTTTAAAATATCACGGTTAATTCCTGGTAAAGGCTCTGCTACACCAAGTGTTTCTGTCGCACAAAACGAAACTGTTGCAACTTGCACAAAACAAAAACAAAGTTCAAGGAGCGGTGCACCAGCTTAAAGTGCCATGCTTAACAGTGACATGGTGGCTACTACTGTACACTGGCTAAACAATGGCAGGGGGACAAAACTGTGAAGCTTTATTTCCACAAAGAAACGGCAGAAGTCGGCTGTGTGGGAAAATTTTGGGAACACCAAGACTGATCTGGGCATTACTAAGGATGATGGATAACCTGTTCAAAAACTTGCCATTAATTGAACACTGACGCAGTAACAGGGGCAGTACGTGATCTTTAAAACCGCTGACTTACTTGCGTTTTCATCCCAAAAATCGTCTGATTTGTTGCTAAAAAAACAGTAAATATTGCCAAAATATGTACATTCGTCTGGTATATTTTGCAATAATTGTGTGATAACAGAGAGTTGTATTTATATTTATTTTCATCAACTTTACAGTTATAATTGTATTCCACGTATCTTATGATGGTTTATTGCATTAAAAATATAGCTTTTTTTACCAGGATGAAAATATCATATTATCTTTATTACATCTACATTTAGTCTGTAATGTTAAAATAAATATGTTAATTTAAAATGAATTTATATTCCTCAGCTTCTGACTTTTCAAATGAGACCAGAATTATGCAACTAGGCCAAATGGTTAAGGAGTTATTCCTGATTGGATATGTTATTTTAGTCATTTTTCCTGGAAATATGGGCAAATAGCTGGAGGTTTCCAACAGGTTAAAAGGCTGCTGCTAATGGAGCGAATAACTACAGTAGATTAAACTTGATGCAGCACCTGCGGGATCACCACCCAGCTTTGCACGCTCAAGTAAAGGTAATACATAATAACTGATTTAGATAAGATGGCAAGTTGGTAGGGAATTAAATATAAACATGTCACTTACAATTGATGCCGTAGCAGTGAAAGTGCAACGTAAACAAAGCCGCTGTACCCCTTCCGACCCACCGCAAAACCAGCACCGCTGCACTATGAGGCCCATTATTTTCAACGGCTTGTGCCACACCACGGCAGTTTGTTGCTGCGTCGAGCAATGTGCACCGTGCGGCGAGCTCGTGCGTACGCCGCTGTCAAAGTAGTTGAACTTTGCGCTGAACAGCTTCCACGCGGTGCAAATTGCTTCTTTTCTGAAAGGGCCTTTATGGAAGACAGAACGTGGTCCTCTCAAGACCTTCGGTCACTGAACATTTAACGTTACATCCTTCTGTCTGTGTTGAGAAAATGTTGCCAGGTGTAAAATACGAACATAACATCATTATAAACCTCCAGGACTGTATCAATTAACTGCATTTCAGTCATTAATAACACTGCATGAGAGATGTTCTCAATTTCTTTCTATCATTTTCACTAAAATGTATATGTATGGATGTTGATCACAATAACAGTTCAGTTTATTACCCTCCTCAATAACACTTTCCCCTGAGGGATAAATGAAATTAATATTCCTCTTATATTAATGCTATATTAATGCTTAAACATATATAAGCATAATTGTTAATGTAATTCAATAATTAATCATTAATTAAGGCATAATAATCGTGATAATCGTAAAACCATGATTATTCCTCTCACTATAATGGTACCAACAAAATCTGTAATCGTTGTATCCCTACCATGACTATTGACTAATGGTCAGTGTTGCTGATCTGGGAAATGCACACAACACCGTATATGAGCACATTTTGTGAAACCAAAATGTGGCCTAAATAAAAGCCTGTAATCTAAATCAGACAAATTATGATTTAAATTAGAGTTTGGTACTCAAAAAGGATTTTGGTTCAACACCGCAAGCCATAACCTCAACTTGACATGTCCAATGTCTCTAAGATGAAAGACCGTTTACTGCTTGTGTGCAACAATTGCACCTCTCCAGCACATGTGCTCATCAGACCAAGCAGAGAGGATGTGTCCCCAGTGAGCAAGTCTCGAAGGGATCGAATGCAGCGGCAACAATTCCACAGTTTCGCACAGACTCTTTAAAGAGAGCAGAAGAAGCAGCTCAGCATGTGGGAGAGAGAGAAGTTGTTCAGCCTGAGGGAGCCAGTAGCAGTTAACAACACAACCGTAAACACTGCAGAATAGCGTCATGTCAAAGGGCACTGTCCAACCCTGTCTCCTAAACTGTTGTTATTCATTTCAAATAAAACTTATTTGCTTGGTACCTCGTTTTTCATGTCCTGTCATATACCTGTTTGCACTGAAAGTGCAAAATGAAAATTTATGTTAGTTTTCATTCCTGTATGACGGCATTCTTCAGTGGTTGATACTTCACAGTTGTTGTTTGTCTGAGAAACCTAAAACCTCTTGCAATAAACAATATAATATCAAACTGCAGACAGTGCCAATAAGTGAAAGACATCACATAAAACTTTTAATTTCATGGGTTGTATGGTGAAAGGCAATTCAGAGTTTAAAATATTCCAACTCTTCCTCGGTTCACTGCCCGCAGTAATAACAAGAGCTGAGGAAGGTGTTGCAGGGGGAACTGCCAATTGTTTCCGAGAGCCCTTTATTCCAAAACCACAATATCCTGAAAAATGTCCCACTGGAACAAAAGCCCATTTGTCTGATGGCCAGTTATCCTGAAAACAAATGCCCATTCTTCTGAAAATACACACTCTCCTTGCAGTTGTTAGTTCAGTGACTGGTGGCACTGTCCATGATTCTGAATCAGCACAAATATTATCCATCCATCCATCGTCAACCGCTTATCCTGCATACAGGGTCGCGAGGGGGGGCTGGAGCCAATCCCAGCAGACATCGGGCGCAAGGCGGGGTACACCCTGGACTGGTCGCCAGTCCATCGCAGGGCCACACATAGACGAACAACCATTCACGCTCACACCTAAGGACAATTTAGGGTCGCCAATTAACCTAGACTGCATGTCTTTGGATAGTGGGAGGAAGCCGGAGCACCCGGAGAGAACCCACACAGACACGGGGAGAACATGCAAACTCCACACAGAAAGGCCGGGGCAACCGGGGTTTGAACCCACGACCCTTTGTGAGGCGACAGTGCTAACCACCGCACCACCATGCCGCCCCACAAATATTATAAATATTATTATTTTATTCATTTTAATAGAGGGCACTGGTCTGGTCTGCCCTG